TCTCCTCTTGTTTAAACCCAGGGCCTTGCTTTTCACCCCTCTGTGTGTCCACTTCTCCATCTGTAAAATGAGGGTAGAGGTACTGAGCTCCCTTATAAAGCATATTGAGATCTGATGATAAAAAGTTCTTTTTTTTTTTTTTTTTTTTTTTTTTTTTGTGACTTTGCTTCCCTTCAGCATCCAGGCTTTGCCCTCCTATTGCCGTTTTCTGCTAAATTAAAAAGGAAAACCATCTACTACCAAAAATATCTTCCCCACTTACAGATCACTTTCAGCCTGCCCTTTATATCACCGTAAAGAGATTATCTTTAGTCTCTCACAACGAGGTATGCTTTGGGGACCTTGGATCGCTCTTGTTGCTCTGTTCTGAACATTTTCCAATTTTTCAGCTTTCTTGTTAAGTCTGGACAAGAGAATAGGCTGCGCTGTTCTTGAAATGGTCTCAATAAGGCTGTGTGCAGAAGGGAGGAGTTGCTGTTTCAAGGCATGCCTCAACAAGCCAGTCTGACTTTCAATGAAGTCACCATTGGAGCACAATACTGGAAGGAAGGAAGGCAGGTAGTTATTGTCACTTTGTTTGCTGTGCTGTCAATATAGGATTTCAGTCTTCCAAGTGATCACTTTGAAACCCGTTCATGATCCCTAAATGCTCAAAATACCAAAGACTGCTCCAGAGTCTAATCTAAAATCTGTCGGGCGCCTGCAAAGTATTCGCTCCATAACTCGAGTCTCCTCTTGCCTTTACTCCAGTTTGATGCAGCCTGCTACTAAAAAGGGGTCCATGACTCTGGAAACTTTCAGAGTAGCTACCGAGCTATCGGTGCCATAGAGCGGCTGTTGCTGAGTGTTGATATTTTTTAAGCTGTAAATAAATCTATGCTTGATCCTCTCCTCGGATACCCGAGGAAATGTTGCGGGTCTCATGATAGTTGAATGCAGGATATCATATGAGAGTTAATGTATTTCTGTAAGACCAAGGAGTTCTAGACATGATCAGGGTCCTGTTCGGCATGACATTGGGTGATGAATAAGAAGATCCTCTGCTCCAAAAGATGAAAACCAACAGGCTGCATCTACACATGCAATTAGCATGCAGAAATAAACTCCGGCACAGTTTGCACTGGAGTCAGCTGCTCCTGGGTACAGCATCTGCATGTGCACCCCAGACTATAGCAGTTTAAACCAAGGTGGAGCAGCCCCGGGCTGGCAGGGAGCCCAGGGGGTCAGCTCCCAGTTTCAGGTCGTGGTGTCGGATGATGGAGGGGCTGGCTGGGCACGAGGGTGCTACAGTGCAGAGGTAGGCAGCATGCAGGTAGCACCCTCATGCCCCAGCCAGCCCAGTCATTGTCTACACATGCGTTGCAGCAGAGTAAATTAGTCTGCGATAGTACTGTATCCTACAGTGGAATTAATTAATTTACTACATTTGGGCTGGGTTTAGGGCGTAGGTGGCGATGCTTTACTGCAAAGCTACTTAGTTCACTCCGCAGTAAAGTGCGCATGTAGATGCACCCATAAAGTGGCAGGGGAGTAGATCTGCTTTTCATTAAAAAAAAAAAAGGGGGGGGGATGGAAACCCTTCCTGCTTGTAGGAAGAAGCTTAGAAATGTGAACCTCACATCTCACCGCAGCAGAAGGCAAATAAAAGAAAACACCATCTGTTACATTTAAAATGCCTTGACTTTAAGTCGGCCAAGTTTACGTTAGGGGGCCTGACTGATGATTTCTTTTGAATATCTGAGGTTAGCAGTCCCGGTGATGTTTCAGGCATTGCAGAGGCGAGGAAACTCCCATCAGGACTTTACACAGGGCTGGGCATGCTGTTGCCACCTCTTGCAGGGAAGGGGTTTATCACAGCTGGTGCTAAGAAGTCCTCCTGTAACCCTAGCTAGGGTAGGGCAAGCCAGAAGACGCTTTCCAGCGTGACTACAATATATTTGCACTGGTTTGTTATAACCTGTTTGCAACAGAAAGAGAAATCTTAGCTCTTTTGGCAGCCGCATGCCTTTTTTTTAACTTTCCAGCAGGTCACAAGTCCTGTTGGTAAAACCTGGTGTGTGTGTTTTTTTTAACAGAGCTCACACCAGGCTCAAGGGTTTTCTAGGAAATCCCGCCCCACAGTGACACAGCAAGGGGAGCCTCCTCTTAGCAGAAATGAAAGTGAAAATAAGACCAGCCGAAGCAGTCAGACAGAAAGAGGAGCTGCAGAGCTTGTCTGGACAATTATATGCTGCTATGGACTTCAGGACTTGTATCCTCGCTTGCTGCTTTCTCTGCACCGGTACGTGGAAGTCCTGCTTGTTCTTTGCACGCCCGCTCCTGCTTTGTAAAACAGGACTGAATCACGGCAACCCTCAATGGCAACAGCAGGGAAAACAGCATGTAGTTTCCAGCGTTTTCTATCATGTTGGAAAGCTGAGATGATCCTTCTTGTTGACGTGCTTCTCTTGTTAGCTGCAGGCGGCTGCTGCCAGTTAAAAATGCCTTCTGGGGGCGGGGTTTGGTTTTCAAAAGTAGTAAGTGATTTAGGATACTTCCTTTTTTTTTTTTTTTTTCCAAGTGTCCAATTTGAGGCACCTTTGCAGCAGACAGCCATCGGCCCTTGAAGAATCAGCCCCTTTGAGGCATTTGAAGTTTGGTACCTAACACCCCGCTTAAAATCTGGGCCCTAGGTTTTGGCATCGAAGCAGCCGGGATAAATGAATGGTTTTGCTCATGGCAGCCACTGGAAATCTCTTGAAGCCAGGCCGTGCTGGTGCCCCAGCGCTTGGGGAGCGGGTAGTGTCAGAGGGAAGGGAATCGAACTGTTTGTTTCAAATAGAGAAAGAAAAACTTGTAGCTTCTCATCTTTTTTGCTGCCCCTTACAAAAGATAGGGGATCTTTCAATATCTGCTCTGATCCGTCCAGGACTCTCAAAGCAAGTTAGCAATGATAATCTTGTATCACACCGGGAGTTAAACAGGGACCTGGGAGCAGGTGCTGCTAGAGTCAGATTTATAAAGGTGCCTAATTCCTGGGACTGTCAAGGAGAGGTAGTTAGCTCACGTAAGCTCTTTAGAAGATCCCACTTGCTTATATGCGGTCCTTAGGCTCTGCTTCCCATTACCATTGACTCTCCTGGCAAAATGTTCAACAATGCTGGGCTTCGGTTCAGTCGTCTCTGAAACTCAAGCTAATCCTTACTTCGCAGGAGGGTTGTGAGGCTCAGTGAATTGTCTAGAAGATGCTTTCATGTCCTGGCATGAAAGCTTGGGCTGAATATTATTAATATTTTATTAGCAAACTTCTGGCATGCTGCTGTTTTTTTCCTTTTGTACCAGCTTTCTGAGCCGCAAGTGGACAATGCCCAGTTTGCTTGTGGTGTTCTGCTGTTTGTACTGTTGTTTCTTCCTCCTTATCCTTCATATTGTCAAGTTTTATAATGACACGATAAAAAAAAATCCACTAAAATTCTGGGACCATCAAGCAAAATGAATGGTTTGGGGGAAAAGTAAATCGCTTTCATTATTTTTCTCTCCAAAGAACTAGGTGAATAAAACACCCAATGTTGTCTCAACTGCTAAAATTCAGTTAAAAACCCCAACAATTTCTATTATATTTCACATACTAGCAAGCGGATCTATTAAAACTGCAAGCACAAAGTAGTGCTTTACATGCATTATTCTTACACATGGAAAAACTGAATTTTAAGATTTCACTGCCCAGAGACCAGCAGCATAATTTTTTTTAAGTGACATTTGCTTGTGTGCATCTTGTCTTTCAGGAATCATCAGGCACCTCGACGGGCTTGCGGCAGCAGGTTCAACCTCCAGTCAAAGCAGGCGGCTATTCTGTTCCTTGGAGACACGAGAAGTCATCCCGTTATCGAGTGAAGTAAAGTACAATAGACAGGATGCCTGGCTCCTGCTGGGAAGAGAGAAATCAAACGGCGATGTGCAGAGAGATGACCCAGAAAATCCTCCTCCTGACGGCACGGTCCTGTTTATCATCAAAGGTGAGTTATCTGCTTAGACACTTGAGTCACGTGAACAAATACCAGATGAGTGCAGCATGAATATCGAACCAACCAAAAGCAGGAGTAGGCTTTCTGATCTGCAAGGATGCTGGCAGACACACCTGGATGGCTCCTTTCAGCTGTTCAGGGAGGGTGACAACGATCCCGCGCTCCAGGGCTTGAGGGCAGTATCAGAGCATGGGGACTGGGGCTGAGCTGATATTAATTCACCATTGTCAGAAAGTCTGTGATACTTATTTAAGCCCAACCTTTGAGCTTGCTTTTACTCCCTCTCAAAGAGACCAAGCGTCTTACTCTTGCTTTGTTGCGTTCTTGGTACGGCAAGAGGACTGGGCTTCCCAGATGAGCAACCTGTCTAGTACTAGGGGAGCCTTTTTTGATTGTACCAGTAGCTTCTCTATCTCTGAGGCCAGCTCCTTTTATGTATGATAGTGCAGTTGCCATTTCATCCTGCTGAGGAAGAGGATTATGCCTGGCCTTCTAGGATGTGATGCCTGCAAAGCCCTTTACAGCCATTCCCTACCACTTTCAGGAAGTAGCCAAGTGTCATCAAACCCATTTTATCAATAGGGAAAACAGACAAGAGTTTGTGACCTGGCTGAGGTTGGAATTCAAATGCATTAACTAGACCAGACAGCCTTTCAGTGGTTGAAGCATCAATGAACACTCTTTTCTTTTCTTGTGGAGTTATTAAACCCTCCAGTGTGGTCCCTGGTAAATCTGGTCTCCGCTGCTCTTGACTAGATGACAAATACAGAATGAAAGACCTGAAATGAAGCGACAGCAGTGCATGTGCATGGGCTGTCAAAGATCCATCTGGAGTGTATGCTGCATTTTCTTTTTTTTTTTTACATAGCGTGAGGGAGAGAATAACTGGGCAGCACTACAGCAGACACTGCTGCACAAAAGAACTTAATATGCATGTGCAGACAGATGCATAGAAAATGAGACTGAGCATCTACAGAGCCACTGATCTTTTCATGCACTCCTTCACATCACTGGGCTGGCTTTTTGCTCGCGTATAAACTATGCCCATGGACTGTTAGGGCTAGGAGACTGTGCAGCAGTAAGTCACATACCAAAGTGTGGTCTTCTTTATCAGTGGGATGAATCAAAATGCATTCTCACTCAGGGATTAGTATTATTAGTGTGGCTACATTTAGCTCCCAGCAAGACATTACGGGGATTTTTAAAATGATGGAAACTGTTTAAAATGCTGGAAACATAACATAAAATTATGGAAACACCAAGAAAAGTTTATTGACAGAAGTGTAGGTTTTTGCTACTGCTATAAAAGGAAAAATGACCGAGACAGTTTTGTTCCAATTTAAAACTCCATTCATGGGCAGGGAGCAGACCTGGAAAGTCTCTCTCCCAAAGTTACAAGAATGTGAAATAAGTCTCTCAAGAAGAGACACATTTAATACTTCATTATTCCTTTCACTCCGTGCTCTCAAAGTTTGGTGTCTGTACACCTAATGGGCTGTGGCACTCAATTTGACCTAGATACCGTTGAGATAAGAACTTAGAAACATTGAAAAGGGACGGTCTATTTATAGGGACGATAAGTATATCCAGAACGGCAATAATAAACGCTCAAAATCTTCATGCTCCAGGGTTCAAATCAATCTTTTGTTGGGAAGGGAGGGAAGATAATCCTATAATTGCCTATAATGGCAGAGCTTCTTGCACTGTTCCTTGAAGCAGCTAATGCCAGCAAGGGTCAGTGATAATGAGCCAAAAGGACCTTTGCTCTAATCTAATCTGATCAATGTTATTAATAAAAGATATCCTCTCTACTACGAGTCCTGGTTGCCTTTTCCTCTAGACCAATACAGCTACAACCTGAATACCACTAATAACCTAATACTTTTGTACATAATCTACATGAGAGAGAGAGAGTGGGAAGACTCCCACGGTGGTTAAACTAGCAGTATACACGTTTGTGAGCTGGTAACTCCAACCCCATCACAGAGTTAGTAGGAGTGATCAGATCCCGCTGTCCTGTCATGGGACAGCTCAGCCCCTGGGAATTTATTACATGAAGAGAGACTGCTGGAGATTGCCCAGGAGATGGCAGCACAACCCCCTGCAATAAGGCAGCTGCATTTGTTTTACAACAATAGGGCATTGATGTGTATCAGATTGTTTTCTACATACGAACACACACTCGGAGCCGCTCCAGCAGTCATTTCTCCAGCAAAGCAATGCGACAGAGAGAAGGCCGAGCCGTTCATTCCCGGGCACCATGAGAACGGTTATGAAATCTCGGGAGTGCGTATTTGATGCATTTTTAGACTCTTTCACTGATGGTTCTTCCACCAGCTCATCTTTCCAAGGTATCAAATGCAGCATTTGAAAGTGTAGCAGAAGGAGAAGGAAGGGTGCTCAGATAACCCCTGGTGATGAGGGTGTTGACAAACCTAAGCAGACAGACAGACTTAAAAGCTATAAAACGTATAGCTTGAGCCCTGACATTTTTGCAATACTTATAATTTCTTCCTCTTTTTGTCACTGAAGTCAGCTGCTCTGGCTCGAAGTGCAAACGGATCCAAGCTGAAATATGAACTAGTACTCGAGGTTCATCCTACCTTGTACCAGCTGCCAACTGTGGCATGGCCATGTATCCTTCACCCTATAGGCATCCCTTTCCCTGTGGTCATGCCCCATATTCTAGTTCAGTTGAGGTGAGATTAGCATAGAGTTCACTAAAACAGTACTGTAGGGATGGCCGCAGGCAGAGCTCTCCTGTATCATCAGCTGTATCAGCTTTGCCCTTATGGAAGAAGTAATGTGAGCCTAAACCCGTGTCGGATGCTGGCCGAGGTCCTTCTGTAGGTCCCTGTGGGTGGTACGGCAGGCTGTGATGCGTGTCCCTCGAGGCTAACCCGAAAACACCAGCCTTCAATTGACTTCACAAACCAGCAATTAATCATTTTGAAAGAGGGTGTTGGTGGGAAGAGAAATCTGTCAGGGTAAGTCCTGTTGGGAGTGTTGGTTAGCTTGTGCTGTTGTCTCATCACCATATCGAGTTAGTCACAACACAGAGGGGGAAATAAAGAGAGATTTCTCCTTGGCTTAGTCACAACAGTGTAGGAGGATTCAGAAGAAAGATTTGTCTTTTGGAGTACTTTGCCCTTAGACACAGCGCTCGGCATGCTGGGAGCGATGCATTAGAGAGGAATCTAATCCGTAAAACTCAAGCCTTGGTCTAGATTTCAAATTTCCCTGAAGAGCACGGTTCCACTTGAATTTCCTCTTTAGCAATAGCATTGCGCACGTCTACAGTGGCTTATTTTGTGGCTCACGGGTGACTCCTTCCATGTGTAGCAGACACTTACATCTTAGCAACAGTGTCCTGAATAAAACGGAGCAAGAATAGTCCTATCCTGGTAAAATGGATCTAATCCAAAGTGCAGCCCTCAGCATGTCCCTTTATTCAGGCTGGTAAGCGGTATGCTTTGCTAATTCCTGCAAGGGATCTTCATCCATTTCTGAGGACCAGTACAATAAAAGGTACAGCCTGCTTTTCAGAATGGGTGAGCATCTGCACTTCCCATGGACAGCAACACCTCTGAAGAATGGGGCCTATTCTTTTCTTTGCGACTCACACTTTATGACTGTGGTTGGGACAGAATAGCTGTCCCCCACTGCCCCAGGAAGCAGCAAAGGAGAGGAGCCCGCAGTGTTTGTTAACAAGGCGCCCTCTTTCGCTCATGCCAGGTCTGAACAAGGGCCCCGTTTTTGAAACCGAATCCATAAAGGTAGATCCCGAGTGTCAGAAGTCATTTGCAAAACTGATTTCCATTGCATATGTTTGTGTCCTGCGTGCTGATTGCACCAGATTGAATTTGATGTCCTGGCCTTTGCAGCTGGTGTATATAAAGAGTTGGACTTTCTTTGCTGCATATTTATTGAGGTTAGGTGGGATTATGATGAGCACATGTGTATTTTTCCATGCAGAGTCGTCAGTGGATATTCTTCGGCATGCAGACGGGGATAACAACAAGCTCGAGTGTAAGATTAGCCCGTATTTCACAGATAACACCCAGATTCTCTGGCCGGGGGTGGCATCCAGATCTGCTGAATTAAACCCGTGGTTCACTGGCACAATAAAGCACGTGGATAACAAGTTCACCATGACGGTCTTTTTCGTCCAATCCTCAAGTACCCACAAAGTGGAAGATGGCCAGAAGCCTGGAAGCCGTGCAGAGAGATTGCATGCCTCAGGTACCAAAGTAATCCAAGAAATGTAGAGCAATGGTGATCCTAGTCAGGAGGCCAGCAAGCCAGCCACCACGCTGCTACATAGCACCAAAGGTGTGGAGCCTCCCTGCTCTACCACACCCCAACATGAGGGACTTTAGCAACCCCAAATAAGGCACTTAAGTGGTGATGCTAAAGACATTTAAGCGGCAGAAAAACTGGTGGCTGATGAGTGCTGGCCGTACAATTAAAACGTGTATTGTTCAGATGTATAAAGAAAGGAGTTAAATTCATTTATCCAAAGTCCAAAAATATATGTCCTTGGCAGAGTTGGGAGTAGAGTCTTTTTCCTACTCTAAGGCCACAAATAAGATATAAATTGGTTCAGGGATGTATTTGGTAGCCGTGTTGGTCCGAGACACAAAGAAATGCTGAAGTCTATACAGCTCTTGGTTCAGAGATGATGCCTTTTTATTAGACCAACTAAGATAATTAATATAAACTGGTACTCATTTGTGCCACGACATGGCAACTCGTTCTCTGACCGTGTTCATTTGGCTTAGCGCGAGGCTTTCCCATCCCGGTTATGGCGGTGGTGCTTTCTCATTTGCACGTCTCTCTTGCTTTGTCTCCGAGGCGTGTTCCTGGTACGTGCTGGGCCTTCTGTCGTTCATTCTGGCTTGAAGAAGGACGTCCTCCTCAACTGTGCTTTCTCAGTCAATCACCACGCAGATCTAACCATCAAATGGGTATTGCTTCGGAAAGGGGGAAGCAAGAAAGTTTTATTTGCTTACAAGGTCTCCACCAAGAAGGTGGAGCATCAGGATAAACGAGTGGAGGCGTTCCTGGCCGAGATCCCCCGGGGAAACGCCTCGCTCTTACTAAGAGGGGTGGAAGTGAGAGATGAAGGAAACTACGTGTGCTCAGTGGCTGCGTCTTCACTTCTTGGGGAGCGGGACATCAGGCTGCAAGTGCTAGGTAATGGCTCTTGGGGGCAGGGTTTAACATATGCGGGGAGTGCTCAAAATACGTTGCAATTCAAGGAGGCCGTTTGCCTGGATTGAGATGAGGCAAAAGCTGCAGACTGGTTTTTGTTTCGCAGCATAAGGAAGAGACTTGCCTTGACCCTGAACTCCAGGTGCATTGCTTGGCCTTTCCGAAGGAGCCTGCTGGAGACGGGCGAAGGGGGAGAATCTGAGAGGCTCTCAGTCAGGAGCCCGTTTGGTTGCCCTGAGATCTCTCTCTGGCTTGCTTTGACTTGCTTTCTTGCCATTTAACTCTGTTTCTGTGGAATCGCTTGGATTAAATAAAATAGCACAGAATGGGAGATATGCAAGTCCACCAGGGTGGGTCACTGCAGTCTTTGCTATAACAAAGAAAAGTCTGCCGCTGCTTTTTGCTAAAGGAGCATCCTTTAGAAAAGCCATTGAGCTCATCTACAGTGGCCACCTTCTTTTAAAAACAAGACAGTCACTATACTTAGAAAGGCATAAGCAATGTCAAGGGGTTTTAATGGCTCCAGGACTACCCAAAACGAGAGAAAATTCATTAGGTAGGGAACACATATGTTAAATCAATTTTATTTTTGTAACCACTGTAGCAGAAATACGTATTTCTGCTGTAGCAAAGATCCAGCAATAGATATGAGAGAAACCAAACGTGTTGGGAAGTAGCTTTGTCACGAGACCTAACAAAGCTCCTTGACATGGGGGGCATCAGAAGATGCCGTTTTGATGGTATGGAAAGATTCCTGTTCCCGGTGGGAGATGGAGAGTGTTTTTAAGAGTGGGGTTAGAGTTGATGTGAAGACACGCAGCATTGTCATAACTTTTTCTTTGTCAGAAAAACCGACAGTGATGCTCAATGCTGACTCCCTGTCCTTGGTGGAAGGAGAAGAACAGAAGCTGGTCTGCGACGTTAAAAACTTCTATCCTCTGGACGCTCAGGCACAGTGGTTTCGGGAGTCGAAGAAGCGAGGCATGCTCCCAGATGTGATAAAGCACGTTCTCTTTAGCAGCCACAGGGAGAACAGCAATGGGACTTACAGCTACTCCAGCTACTTCTTGCTTACAGCCTCACTCGAGGATGATGGGCTCAAATACACTTGCCACGTGGCCCACCAAAGCTTGACGTACCCAATCAAGAAAAGTGTGATGCTGAGAGTCACAGGTAAGGTTGTCACTTGAGAAAACAGCCGGTCCGTGGCGAGAAGAAATCTGTTCTCTGCCCAGTTTTGCCCCCATCAGTGTTAAGGGCTTGATTGTTTAATAACACCAATAAATCTAGTGTAGAAGGAGCCAAGCTCTTGCTCTGATGATGGCCTGGGAGGGGGAGCAGAGGAAGGAGGAACTTCCCGTGGACTAATGTTACCATGTGCTTAGCAGCATCGGTGTGTTGTAGCTCAGATCTCAAAGAAGAGACAATGGAGAACAACTCACAACTGGTTGTCAACCTTAGGAAGACCACTAGATGCTTGAAGCGTGGTCCAACAGCTCTTCCACCTGTATAGTCGGTCCTGGAAGAGAGATACCAAAAAAACCCTCGGCTCTCATCCATTTTCTTTGGAATTCACTTTAGTGAAAAAGAGACGACTTAAAAGGGAGTCTTTCTTTAGGACGGAGCCAACTACAGAGCAGGCAGTGGCTTGGGAAAGCTTAAGAAGCCTCAATAGAAATTAATAGCAATCACCCATAACATTAATGTAATGGCGATTGGATTCTTTTGCAGCTCTGTTTTCAGCCATCAAATATCAATGGACATTTTACTGCCAGCCATTACCTGGGGATGAATAGCTAGTGCCTAACCAGTCCTCTAGCTCCATTTGCTAATGATATCCAGGAAGTGTCTTGCAGCTTGATCTTAGACACAAATTTATTGGACTCTCAGTTGTGATTTGTTCTTTAATCCTCTGCAGTCCAATTTTTAACACGTACTTGTTAATCTGGCTTGGTCAGGGCAATGGTGAACAGTGTTCTCTGTGTAACGCCTTACATGATTCCTTCCTTCCTACAGTTTGTTCTTAAAATTATTCCTTTTTTGTGTAGGGGCAGAATCTGTCTGGCCCTTTGTGGTCCTAGGTGTCCTAACTGTGCTTGCTGTGACGGCGTGTTGGTATCTGTACAAAGGTAAAGCAAAGCAAAGCAGCAAGGCTGGGGAGGGAAGAATTGGCTGTTGGCAGGATTTTGTGCCATTCCTTTGAAATTCGGGAATTCCCAGAGCTGTCCTGGAATATAAAGAGAACTTTAATTGTAACTGGGCTACATGTGCACTTCATGTGAAGCAATGAACTCCGGCACAGTTTGCATCGGACTTTATTGCTCCCTGGCACAGCATTTGCACGTGTGCCTGGGACCGCAGCACGTTGAGCCTGGGAGGAGCAGCCCCGGCTGGCAGGAGGTCCCAGGAGTCAGGGCTGCTCTGACCCGGCTCAACGTGCTGCAGAGGGGCTGGCTGGGCCACGAGGGTGCTCCAGCGCAGGACCAGCCAACAAGCATCCCCTGCACCGTAGCACCCTCATGCCACAGCCAGCCCCGTCGGTCTGTGTTGCGTTTTGCCATATGCAACTATGCCATTGTAGAACCGTGCTTGTGTTGGCCAGCACTACCCTACAGCAGAATTAATTAGTTCACTGCGGTCTAATAGCGCCGCACATGTAGATGGCGATGCTTTACAGCAGAGCTAATTAATCAGCTCCACAGTGAAGCAGTTCATGTAGACACACCTGCTGAGCTTTATTGTCCTGCTGCTTTGAAGCAGTATCTCTTGTTCATCCTTCTCACTTACCTCTCTTTTCCTTTCTAGTGACGACTGCCAGTCAGGTAAGCTTATTTTCCATTTTGAATATGCAAGACTTTTATGCACTTTCCATTGGGCTGTTCTCTAACGCATTTCTGTCTTCCAACTTTCAGCCCAGACCCTACTAGAACACAAGGCTTTTCGCTCCGGGCAGGTAAGGGGCAAAAAGATGCTCACCGGTAAAATGGAGTAACATGTAAGGAGATGGCTGCATATTGGGATTTCTCAAACACTCGATGTTGGTCTGAAGTCAGTAGGGTTCTTGCCACTTGGAGCAGAGTTAGACCAACACCGAGCCCTGGTGAAAATTGCACCCTATATCATTAGTGGAGTCAGTGGTTAAAAAAGGGAGCTCTGCCACTGAGTTTTCATCACCTTGGCAAGTCATTTATCTTCTTAGTGCCTCCTTTACCTATCAGCCACATAGGGAGGCTGGTACTTATCTGCCACTCCTAGGTGTTTGTCAAGTAATATGAGATACTTGGATGCAAAAGGCTCGAAGGCTGCTTGCAGATGTATAAACCCCCGCAAAAATCACACTTTACTTTTAACTTGGCGCACCCCCACGCCGAGCCCAGCGCGAGGCATTGCATTAGTTGGACCCAGCTCGCCTGTCTGTATAGATCGGGCACTTCAGCGGTGCTTTTATCTAATAACTGATTGAATCAACTATTAGATAAAAGGGCCAAAAAGCCCCGCTGAAGCATGCAATCTTTACAGGCGCTGCAGAGCTGGGTCGAACTAATGTGCTGCCTCTTCCAGTAAAGTGCAGCTTGTTGGGTTTTTTTCCCACATCTGTCAGCAGCCAAAAAGTCCTGAAAATGTTGTGTCTGTGACGTTGCTTCCATTTATTCCCTAATACAAACAACACAAAGAGCAGTTTGGTTTTTTCCCCAATATATTTCTATAGCCAGCAGAAGCAAAGGGTAATATTGCCTTCCCTGGGAGAGCGGCAATATGTACTGACTTACAGAGCGTCCCTGCGTGGTGTTGCACAGGCAGCGATGTATTCATAGGAACTTGGCTAAAGGTCTGAATGTGCGTGTGTGCATAATACCTTCTGCTACCTTATATCGCGATCACCAGGTCGGCCTATTAGCCGCTTTTGTTTAATCTGCACGCTATACAAGAACCGTGGTTTTAAAAGCTATCTAAGGAACCTACGGGTGTTGGGTTTCCATCCTCAGTCTAGATCATCTGAGTGTGGTGAGCGAGCCAGAGCGTCTGTGAGGGAGCTCTCAAAGTTACGGAGAAGTGGGAGATAGTTCCCAGTACGGGAACAGAGGAAGATATGCACAGGCTACCTTGAGAAGACCCCCTGCTGTTTAACCAGCAGGGCTGGTGGGGAGAGGAGAGAGACGTGCTGTGTTTTACTATATAGAAACCAAACGGTATTGAGGCCCGTAGGCAAATGCAGAGGCATACAACAAGCAAGTTGCAGAAGCTTGAAACTAATGTAAAGACAAAAGGACTTGGAGACTTTGGTTACCATGGTGCGAGGCTCGTGGCTGTCCAACGCCAATGGGAGAGGCAAAGAAAAATGCAGAGCCTGGGATCACACAGCTAGAGAACAATAAGATTTTCATTGATG